TTTCAAAAGTTAGATGCTGTTTTCTCTTTAATTTTTTGGAAGGGTTTAAAGAGGATTGGTAGGAATTCTCTTTTTCTTCAACCTAGGAAAAAAGTTTCAATTTTCTTTTTAAAGAACAATTTTGTATTTCTGTTTTTTTCTACCTGTTTTCATTACTTTCCTGCTATCTTCTATTATTGGTTTTATCTTTTTTTTAAAAAAAAATCTGTTTTCTGCCAAGTATGGTGGTGCACACCTTTAACTCAGGAGGCAGAGGCTGTGCAGAGGCTGAATCTCTGTGAGATCAAGGCTAGCCTGGTCTACTTATCGAGTTCCAGACCAGCTGGGGCTGCAGGAAGACCCTGTTTCCAAAAAATATTATTCCAGCCTGGTTTTAAATTGTGAATACTTATTTCATGGCCCACCATCTGACCTATCTTGGAGGATAGTCCACACACACTGGAGAACAATTGAGTTCCAGACCAGCTGGGGCTGCAGGAAGACCCTGTTTCCAAAAACTATTATTCCAGTCTGGTTTAAAATTATGAATACTTATTTCATTGCCCACCATCTGACCTATCTTGGAGGATAGTCCACACACACTGGAGAACAATGTGTATGATGCTGTTGGTAGGATATTGTAGCTATCTCTTGGTCCCACTGGTTGATAGTGATGTTCAAGCCTCAGGCTCTTTATTGATCATCTGTGACTTTTCTATCAACTATTGAAAATGGGGTAGTAAATTCTCCTACTAGTAGAATAGGTTGACTTGCCATACTGTGTTTCCACCCATCTTAGAAAGTCTCATAGGACCACTGGAATCTTTACTGTGTAGGCTTTGAAACCCATTTGTCTAGACAGAGAGGGCAGATGAGTTGAATGTCCAGTGCCACAGAAAGGGTCCTTGGTGTGCTGAGAGAGGACTGATTGTGTTCTCAAAGGAGCTTTACCTTGAGGATGAAGAGAGTGAGGACCCCCCATCCTCACCTGTGTGTCTGCTCCATGTAACACCCCCCCTGAGGTGCCCACACCCAGACAGACAAACGTACACATAAAGACACAGGGACAGGAAAACACACACAGATACACATATACACACTACTGAGCAGACACAGTGTCACATGCAGGAATAGGACACATACAGACATATTTATAGGAACGAACACACACACACACACACACACACACACACATCTGTCTTTAAAACCCAAACTGATTGTGATGCCTCCTGAGGAGCTGCCTTCTGGCCTGACCAATGCCTCCTCTGCCTGTCTCACACCAATACTTTGTTAAGGGCTGCTTTAGATGTCCCTGCTCATCTCCAGAGTGGTCCCTTTGCCATTGCTGGCTTAAACATCTGTAGATCTCCTTGCAAATAACTGCTTCAACATGAGTTGAACCACAGGGCAGTAGACAAACAGGCCAGAGAACCAGTGAGGCACCAAAGGTGAAGGATGGGGTCATGAACCAGATAAGAAAGAGGAAAGAGGGGGCAGAGGGGCAGCCAGGTTATCAGAGGAGTTAATAAACACACCTCTCTCCCTCTTCTGCAGTTCCCAGTGGGAGATCAAGGACAAAGGGTCCCTGGGGCAGGAGAGTAGGCCCAGAGAACAAAGAAGTGAGGATGATAGGTTGTCCCTAGGAATTCTGGGAATTGTGTTTTGACCAGAAACACAAGTCAGAAATGAAGATAGGGTAGGAAATTCATTCGATCCCAAAGTCAAGGTCTGGCTATGTGGCTAGGCTTGGGTTCCAAAGGTACTGTGTCAGGGTACAAGTAAAGTAAGAACAGAAAAGGGGAGTGGGTTGCCCCAAGTGGCTCTTCATACCTGCTACAAGAAAAGACCAGAGAAAGCAGGAGGCCCATGGCCAGTCTAGCCTGGAAGAGTGCCCCAAGTTGGAACAGGCCACCAGGTTAGCCTCCCCAGCACTCACCCATGGGCCCACTGCATGTTGAGATCACAGAGCAAGGACATTCTCATTCCTTGACTTGGCCACATCTGCATCTGGGGGCTCTGGGAGGCTGGCAGCTCCTGCCTTGTGAGCTCAGGAGGAAGCTGGTAAAGGACTTATGGAACAGATTCACAAGGCCAGGAGGAGAAGACTAGGCTAGACTTTCAGAACCAACTGTCCCTCACATTCTTGCCCTGGAAACTCAAGGGTTGAGTAGAAGAGGGGACATTCAGTTCCCACATGTCCAGGGACCCTTGGTACTGGAGGAGAGCCTGTGGTAGCTTGTGAGCCTGGCCCGGTGAATGTATGCCATGTCCTGCTCTAACTTGAGGGTCTGGCTGTCTTTTCCTGAACTCAGTCCAGTGGAAGCAGTTGGGACCACCCTTCTGTAATGGGAAAGGCTTATGGTCACTGGAGCCCACATCAGAGAGCTGCTGAGGGGAGGTCATGGTTCATGAACATCACAGGGCCTGAGGAAGGCGGTGCCTGAGCCATCGAGTCTGCAACAATTGTCATCTGCCCGAGTTCAATGTGTGTTTCCACCCATCTTAGAAAGTCTCATAGGACCACTGGAATCTTTACTGTGTAGGCTTTGAAACCCATTTGTCTAGACAGAGAGGGCAGATGAGTTGAATGTCCAGTGCCACAGAAAGGGTCCTTGGTGTGCTGAGAGAGGACTGATTGTGTTCTCAAAGGAGCTTTACCTTGAGGATGAAGAGAGTGAGGACCCCCCATCCTCACCTGTGTGTCTGCTCCATGTAACACCCCCCCTGAGGTGCCCACACCCAGACAGACAAACGTACACATAAAGACACAGGGACAGGAAAACACACACAGATACACATATACACACTACTGAGCAGACACAGTGTCACATGCAGGAATAGGACACATACAGACATATTTATAGGAACGAACACACACACACACACACACACACACACACACGCACGTTGGACCTCTCTCCCCTGGAGGTCACACAAATACCACAAGACCTGACTCTCTTTAGAGCCCTGGCTCTGGTGAGGGAAAAGAAAGCTGTTTAAGTGGCACACAGGCTGTCCCCTGGTGACACTGCTCGGCACTCACGTGGAGGATGGTGATTCACTCCTGGCTATGCCAGTGAAAGTTGCGAGGTTGACAGTGCCTTGTCCTTGAGCTCAGTTCAAGTGAGCAGTTGGACACCGCTGGGCGTGGCCAGCTGTTTGTTTGGCTGAGGGTCCTACCAGATGCCTCTTCTTGTTTCTCCTGTCTCCTTCACGCCCAGGGCTGCCTTGCATCTGCTTCCTGTCTCCGAGAGGGCATTCTGGGGGCACGTGGGGTTCTTATAGTGCTCGGCTCTGTTATGGGCTATTGAATTGGGGACAGCTGCTCTGGCAGATCAACTGTTTCTCTACTGGGAAGCCAGATATGGTCTTAGGGACACATCTAGGACTTGAGTCATAGGCCGAAACTTCCTCAGGGTTCTAGGAGAAGTTTCATTCTGTGTGGCTAGCCCCCCAGGTGGGTGGAAGGGCATGGTGAGCTCTATGGCTAGCTCTCTGGGAGGGTGGAGGGCCTCAGTCAGTTCTACAAGAACAAGGCCCCCGGACTGTGGCTCTGTCTTTAACGAACAAGGAACTTTCTTGCTGTACCCCAGCTCCCCAACAAGGGGAGTTGTGCCCCATTTCGTACCATATCTGTGAAGTGCTTCTATGGGCTTTTGGGGAGAGAGTGTCCCCCAGTGCTTCCTTGGAAGTCTGGCTCCTAGCGAGTGCTCCTGAAGGGAAGAACACATTGACACAGGGGATGCAGAGGTGGGAAAGCCATGCCAGATGAAAATGAACTTTATCATCCCCAGCCAGGATATCGAGGCTCGGAGAAGTTTGATGGTGTCACAGAGGTCACACCGCTGGTACGTGCCGGTCTCAACTTGAATCCAGGTCTTGAGACCCTCAAGCCAAGCTTCATTGCAGGCAGCAAGGATGTGCTTATCTTTGGTGAGTTTGGGGAGGTCGAAGGTGCTAACAGCCACCTCGGGAAAAGTATCACTTTTAGAGAAATACTTGATTTGTGTCCCGTGTCCTGCGAAACTACACAAGTGACAATTTTTATCTAAAATACACCATTTTCACAGCTTAACACAGTGCTTTCTTTCCATAATTATTCAGTAAGTTGGAGGAAGAGATCTTAAGGTAACCTGGGATGGGAAGCACACCCACAGCACAGGAGTATTCTGGGGGACCTGGGTGGAGGCTTTGGATATTGCCGTCCTTCAGCAAGGCTGAAGAGAACAGAGGACAGGGTGGGCTGTTTGGTGTGATGACAAGGGGGGGATCCTGGGATATACTACCCTCATGTCACAAGATTTGTGTTTGTCCTTGAGAGAGCTCATTGAGGGTCTGGGGATGGAGTGGGAGCAGGTACATATGGTTTTAAGCAGATCTCAGGGAGACCATGGGAAAATATAGGCACTGTCTTTCTCCCTCTGTAGTGACAGCATATCTTTGTCATGACCTTCCAGAGCCATCCATATGCCAAGGCCACAGGACTGAAGAGGACACAGGGGGAGTGGCCTTATGTCTGGTGTAGCTAATGAGCTGGGGAAGGAGACAGAGGCTGAGTCACAAGAGACCCTCCTGTTCCCAGGGGAGATGTGAGCCCCCCTCCCCTCCAGCAGGGAAGGAATGCCAGGGACAGAGGCTGGGGTCCTGCTCTGGGCCCTAAGGAGGCAGGGCTACACCTGCCGTGTCCTCCAGCAATCCTCAGGAAATGCCCAGTGAGATGGAGAGGCCAGGGCTGGAGGTGACACAGTGCATCAAGAAGGACACACTATCCTCTCCCTTCAGAGCTGGAGATGTGGCAGGGTGGGGATGTCATAAACACAGAAGCACGGGATGCTGCAACAGAGGCACTGTGACCTGGAGTCCTGTGTGACCCACTAGGAGGCAATAAGGGGTAACAGAGGAAGACACAGACACCACAGGGAGAGGAATTTGCAGGTCACTCAGGCATGGGCGAAGCTAGCTCGTGTTTAATGACAACAGGGAGGACATGGCTTTGGCGAGAGGCTGACTCCCAAGAGCAGTTACTGTCTGGGATTCACTATTCTGCCGATGAAAAGGGGGGCAAGATGTTCTTGATCCATGATGAAAATTATGAAGGGCCTTTTGAACTCTATAATTTCACTGGCGTTCCATGGCCTGCCTGTACAGTAGTTGGTATCAGGGGGTCCAGTCCCTTCGGTATCCAGGGTCAGAAAAGCCTTATGGATGGTCTGCAGGGAGAAAAGCAAAGGCAGGTCGAAGGTGGGCTGCCCCATCCAGGTCTGGAACAAGATTCCATGCAGAACTCATGGATGACCTCACTGGGCCTGTATTCACCCTCTACAGTCTTGTCCTGCCCACGGCCCCCTCTATGGTAGTCACCAGATGCTTTCCCCTGTCTCCAGCCTTGGCCTGCCTCAGCCCACTTCCTTCCTGACTCCATCCCTTCTGGCCTTGGTTGTAGCCCACAGCTACACGGAAGGGCCCTCTGCACTCCATGTCCTCTGCACACATGTCCCCTTTTCAATGTGTAGCTACTAGCTCTTCAAGAAAAAGGCTCCGAAGATGACCTTCACTGTCCATACTCCAAGAATGTTCAGCCTGTATCGACTGCCTCTAATTCCCCTGAACCAGTGGCCTCTTTGGAAAACTCAGTAATAATCCCGACTTCGTGGTCTAGTAGTAGCTTTAAAGGTCACAGGTGGAAGATTTTAGAACATTGTCTGAGGTCACAGACCCTAAGCATCTCAGTATGAATGTGGGTAAATTGAGTCTCAAGGGTCCTTGGCAGAGATGAGACTGAGGGTCAGTGAGGCCTCTCAGGGCCTCGAGGTCCTTACAGAATCCATTTGCTTCAGGTCTGACCTCTGACTTCATCCTGTCCAGGTAAATCCAAAAGCTCTCTGGAGGGACTCAGCCTGGATTTTATCGGTGCCCTTCCCCACTCCTTAGCTTCATGACTGAGCTGCCTACTCCAATCCTACCCAAATAGATACTGGAACACCATTGTGAGGTGGCCTCACCTTGGAGAGTTTCAAGGGAGCAGCACCCCCTGTGATCCCTGAGAGGTCAGCACTGTCGCTGAAAACCTGGGTGATGCCCTGTATGCTCATCAGGGGCTCGAGGTCATAAGTCTCAGTAACTGACAGTTCAGGCATGTGTATCTTGACCAACCTGGTGTACAGAAAAGGAAGTTCCTTAGTATCAGAGAACCAATCCTTTTGTCCTGGCAGCCCCTGAAATGCTACCTCCTCTGAGAAGCCCTCCAGGCAGATTCAGGGTGTTCCCATGGAACCACATCTCATTATGCCCTACAGTGTTTGGTTACCCCCTCCTCCTCTGCCAGAGACACCCACAGGACATGACCTCCAGGGGAGTGGGAGTCCATGAAGCTGAGTAACAGCTGCTCACAGAACAGAGTGACTCCATCTCCCTCCCCACCAGGATGAAGCTTCCACAGTCAGACTGGGCCTTGGGCTCTGAACCACCCCATGTAGTCCTCAGCTTTCGGTGGGGGAGTGGGGGGTGGAGGGCTAGGGAGGGGGGTTTAGGGAGTGGGGAGTAAGGGCTGGGCCTGGCAGTGAAGCAGCACTGTTGCCCATAGTTCACTTCAGGCCTGCCTGAATTTCTGTGTTTTACAGAACTCCTCACTCAATAGGCAGTAGGGCCTGGGCTGGCTGACAATGTCAGTGACCTGTGAATCACACTCCAGAACCCCTGATAAATCCACTGAAAAGGAATAGGAACTCCTTCTGTACACCTGCTTGGGGCTCTCTGTTCTAGCCCTTTCCTGTCCAGGCTTTCTATGCAGGCTCCTCCTTTGTCCTCTACCCCCTCATGGACTCTCTACCTGACCTCCACCTTTAGCTGTGAACAGGGCCCGAGGTCCACCTCCTTCTCCTTGGCTCAGCCATAACAGGTACTGCTTCTGAGGCCCCTGTCCTGGCTCTGGAGACTGAGGATGGAATGTCCATGCTGGGGTGTGATTCCTCAAGGATTGCATGCTTACCTTTTTGTTTTAAGCACTGCTCCTGTCATGAGTCTCGCTTACACTACGAAAGTGAGCACCAAGTTTACCTGGAAGCTCAAGGTCATGCTGCACTATACAGCCTGAGGCCCCAGGCTCTGGCCAGTCCTCTAGGGTCTCTGTCATGTCATGGATGAGAGGTTGGGTGGCTCCCGGGGTTGGGGATTACCTTACGCTTTTCATCTTTGCTCTGATCCAGCGGAGCTGTGGGTAGGTCAGAGTCTGTTCCACCTGCTGCATCTTCCCTTCATCGGGCAGGATGAAAAAGGCCATGGCACTGCCCATACTGCCATACTGCAGCACCTTGCTGGACATATCCTCCACCCACAACAGATCAACTATATCCAGGTGATTGATTGTAGGCACCTTGATGGTCACCCTTTCGTCTAAGAGGAAGTCCTCCATCACAACATGCTGACAACGGAGGCGGTTATACCATTTGCCTAGAGAAGAAGAAATGAATGTCAACCAGTGGTGGGTCTAGGTCCAGTTGAGTGTGTCAGAGGGCAGGAGCATGGAGTCTCCTCTTTGAGGAAATCATAAGACAACTCAAGGGTTCTGTGAGGACCTCCTGAACTTAAGAGAGAGATAGAATATTGGTATATCCTGGCTGGTTCCAAAGACAAAGCATCTTAAACTTTTCTTATATTTATTTAATCACTCTCTGAGGATGCTGAATGATAAGAATGTACATGATCTGAGGTCCCAAAGTCACATCTGGGCACCTTTTTCTTAGAAGCTTCCTGTTCTTCTCACACAGTGGTTCAGTCTGTATTCAAGGCAAACCTTTTCTGTACTTGAGTCCCTGACTGAGCCCATAGGTACAGTGTGCAGGCCTGGGTATCCTCCCCAAAGCTGTGCAAGAGCACCACCACCAAGACCATGAGATTGGTGGGGGCCTCAGGGACCCTGACCCCATCTTCTCAACAGAAAGGAAAGGGCGGTAGGACTGGGAAGTGGACGAAACCTTCCCTGTTCTCTGCTGTGACCTCAGCTGCGGAAGCCTAGGTGCTGTGCTCTGTGGTGATCTGTCCAGGGCGAAGGAGTTATGGTGAGTAGCAATGGCGGGGAAGAGCAACACTTGCCCTTGGCTCATAGCTCCTCCCTGAGGCTATTTCCTGGGACACTGATGCTTCCCATAGGGTCCTGACTTGACCACTTCTAGGCAGGAAGTCAGGCTTGGTTGGGGTAAAGGTTAGTTGATCGGGTCCATGTAGCAATGTGTAACTTCGCTAATTCCTTCATTACCACATAGCAGTGGTCTAGCGGGAATTGTTCATGATAAGATGGGAATTCATTCCCCAAAGAGGGAAAATGACTTGTCCAATGTGGACAGGTAATGAAGGATGGACGCCATATTTGAAGCCAATGTTTCTGGGTTCTAAAGCTGACTGTCTTCCATGACACTTCTGAGTCTAAATATAGTCCCTGCAAATTGTGTCCTACATAAATCTGCTCTGATTTGTTTTGGAAAACAATGAATATTCTACTGTGTCCCTCACACAGATTTCAGTGGAGCATCTGGATAACGAAAGCTCTACTGAGACTAGCCGAGAAGATACTTTAAATATTTTTTAAGATTTTATTTATTATTTTTATTTTATGTGTATGCGTGTATTGCCTGTATGTATGTGAGTGCACCCGTGTCATGCAATGTCACGGAGGTCACCATCCCTCAGCCTCACTGGTTGATGGAAATGGTTACAATGTTTATTGATGGAGGACTGAAGAAGCCACATGCAGGTGTCCTGCCTGGAATGTGAGCATCTATTTGGATGATTTTCCTGGTGCTAGCTAGCTCAGCCTGGTGGTGTCACCTTACCATGAAAGATGATGTAGTCCATTACAGCAAGGGATATGTTTTTCTCCAGATCCACAATCATCTCTTGTAATTCCCTCTGGGTTTTCTGATTCATGTGATTGTTGATCTGTTCCTTGGCCCTCTGGCTGTTTGTGAAGTCAGTGGGGATGGTTTCACATTGGTAAAGCTGCTTGACATTCTTCACAAACTTGTCTGTCACATTCAGGTCCTTGCTGATGAACAGGCTGCTGCCACCGAACAATGGAGACTTATTTTTGGATTCGTAGGGGGCAGTGAACAGGTACTGGAAGCACTTGTGGATCTCAGCCTCAGTGAGGCCTGTGAAGTTGAGCCTCAGGCCCTCTAGGATCTGCTGACTCGTGTTACCCTTGGCTCCCAGGGAAAGCATGGTGAAAGCCGCAGCGATTCTCAAGGGAGAGAATAGGATATTTTTGTATTTTGATCTCTGGGCTAGCTCTTTGAACAAAGAGCTAGAGGCATTGCTGATGGTGAAGGCTACTTTCCGGCATTGGTAAGTATCTATGCCCAGGTCATCATGGTCAGTATCCTGGGGATCTTTAGTCTGGGTGCTGGGGAGCAGGCAACAAGAACCTATCAGCAAGAAGAAGCCACAGGAGAAAGAGGGTGGCATTGTCCTGCAAGAGAGAGAAAAGGACACAAGCCCTTTTGTGTCAGGGCCATGGCAACTCCCACTGATCAATGACTGACACCATATAAAGGAAATCAGTTTCCCAAACTTGTGCTGTGCGCCCAGCCTGGCCCAAGTACCATCTACATCCTCATTGTTGAAAGAGTCAGAGATAGTAATCTGGGCAGGTCAAATTCACCTGCCCTGCACTTCTCTGATGTGTAAGAACACTTTGCCTTCTTGTTTCCGTCCCACAGGGGAACAGTACTGTCATTTCTTGAACACAATAGTCCATAGAGGTTCAAGGTCAGTGAGCAGACAGAGGAGAAGAGTTAGATCCCACAGAAGGCTGTCTGGGTCCTGAGCCAATGTTCACGGAGGCCCCACTTCCATCTGCAAAATAACTCAATGCAAAAGAAACTGCCCTACTTAACAAAGAGCTTCTGTCACTAGAATCCATGTGACCCATAAGAAAGACTGGAACCGTCTTAACCCTCATTTTAAAAACAGAAACTTGGAGGGTATTAGTAGGGTAAATGTAGCCCTCAGTACTTATATCTAGATATGACCCCAGGGACAGTTTGTATGATCCCAGGGACTGTCTCTTAAGCTCTCTCCTTGGGGACAGAAACTTGGAGGGTATTAGTAGGGTAAATGTAGCCCTCGGTACTTATATCTGGATATGATCCCGGGGACAGTTTGTAGGTCTGGCAAATTCCCAACCTGTAGGGCCAGCATGAGGGCTGGAAGGATCATGAACCCAAATGAGATGGGGAAGAGGTGATGGTGTGGGGCAAGACTCCCTGGAATTAAACAAAGCTCCCTCCCTTGGAGATAAGAGTTCTTGCCAGGTGATCAAGGGCAGTTGGCCTCAAGGCAGGAGGGTCAGGGCTCAAAAGCAGAGAGCTAGGACCCTATATGGTTGCAGGGAGTTCTGGGAAACACATTTTTATGAGTGGCAGTTAAGACAGCCCAGTTTTTCCCTTAAGAGAGATGGGGCTTTCCAAAGTGTCTCCTCAGCCCTTCCAAGACAGAGACCAGGGGAAGGCAGGTGGTCCAGAGCCACCCTAGGCCTGGAAAGCTTCCTCAAGGAAGAACAGGTCACAGGTCAGCCCCATTCAGTACTCAAAAGTGGGGTCTACTATGTGCTGGAAGCACATAACAAGACCTTGGTTCCCCTCTGGATCATCCCACAGGAGCTGAAGCTGTTGCCTCAGTTTCCATTGTGTGGAGAAGGTACCAAGACGGGCGGGGAGGCTGTCAGTGCCCACTCTGTGGGTTCAGAAAGAGGCTCGTGAAGGACTTACTGAGCAGGGTCAGCTGAGGCAGCAAGGGGATCGGACTGGGTGCAGCACTGACTGTCTCTTAAGCTCTCTCCTTGGGGACTTATAGGCACAGTAGACGGTGGGGGACATTCAGTCTCTATGTGTGCAGTGACATTCCATGCTGGAGGGAGAGCCTGGGGCTGCTTATAAATCTGGACAGGTGACTGTGTGCCATTGGCTGCTGTGACCTAAGGGCCTGGTTGTCTTATCATGAACTGACTTAGTCAAGCAGAACCAGCCAGTGCCACCCATCTAGCAGGGGATGGAGGGAGCCCCATGGCCAGCGGAGGGAGCTGAGAAGAGGTCAGGGGTTCACACACCCAGAGCATAGACCTGTGCCTCTCCTTGGTGTTTTCAGTAATCGTCACCTACCTGAACCCAGTGAGCGTGTTTCCCCCCTGCCCTGGGAAGTCTCACGTGGCACTGGAATCTGTGTTGTGTTGCTCTCAAGCCCATTTATCTTGGGACAGAGAAGGGATAACAGCCCATTGCCCAGTGCCACAGGAGGGGTCCTTAGTGTGTCTGAGAGAGGACTGATTATGTTCACTCCAGTGAAGAGGAGCTTTGCCTTGAGGACAAGGAGAGTGAAGCCCCCTCATCCTCACCTGTGTGTCTGCTCCAAGGACACCCTCCCAGAAGCACACACTCAGACACACAGAAGCACACACAGGGCCACAGACCCAGATGTTAAGCATATCTACTTACACACATTGTGGATTCCTGTGTCTACCATAAGACACTACATCCTGACCCTCCAGTCCTTAGAGTGCTGTGCCTTGGCAGGCCTGGGAAGGCCTTAAGGTGACACAGGCTGTCATCTGGTGACACTGTGCTCCACACTCACCTATGGAAGACACTGATTCTCTGCCTCTTTAAACAGATGAATAATCTGATAATGTTATATGTCCTCCCTTTTGCTTATCCATCCATCCATTTGTAAATGGACACATTAATGGGTTTATGGACATGTTTTAGCTGCCATGAACATGAGCATGGGTTATGGGCATGTTTTAGCTGCCGTGAATGTGAGCATGAAGATATCTTTTAAGATCTTTACATTTCTTTTGGCATAAAGATGAGATGACATTGCTAGGTTATATAATGTGCTGATTAATTTTGATTGCCAGCTTGATTGGATTAAGAACACCAGGGGATTAGTGAGACAACTTCCTGGTGTGTTTCTGAGTATTTTCCAGAGATAACTGGGTTATGAAGGCTCTGATCTAATGGATGGATTAATCCTTTGTAGGAAAGGATTTCTCTACATTTTTGGTCATGTCCTAAAATTTTGTAGGAAGCTGAGTTTAAATATGACAGACTAAATAATTTGGTGGAGGAAATTTTAAAACATTTATACATTGGTACGGCTATTTCTGGCTTTGTTTAGCAAGATACATAGTGAGAATCACACAAGGCACAAGGCAAAGTTAAAGGATTTGAAAAATGAATAATTTGGCTAGAAAATGAGCATGTTCAAAGTTGTGGATAAAGGAGAATGTGGTTGTTAAAGAAATTAACACCATTAGAAAGAACCCAAGCTCTTTGCACAGATACCTTGAGTTTATTTCTGAAATTGGATAGACCTTACCTGTCACTGACTTCAGGGTGTAAAATTTAACATATTTGGAAAAAAACTTTTTCTTGAGAAGAGAAAGGCTCTAGGGTACCCTGATCACACAAAGTCACATAAGAAAGTGTTTTTCCCTCATTCGGCCAGCCAGGCACTCAGAGAGGATTGCTGACATGGTAAAAAGAGGCCCAGCTGCCACATGAGTTGGTGGTCTCCCTTGGCATTGACCATGGCACGCTGGTTTTGCAGGCATGCAGAATGCAAGAGTTATAGCATCATGGAGATTTCTACTGAGATCTCAAAGGTGGTCCTTGGAGAACAGGTGATGTGTATCAGGGTTAGATTTTCTGTAAGAACTTCCTGAAGGTGATGAATGAAATCACAAGTATGAACCTAAACCATAATGGATACTGGAGATACCAGAAATGTAGAACCTCTGTTGAGGAAAGCCAGAGGCAATGATTAGAGAAGGCCTAAGAGGCTATGGGTTATCAGTGAAAAGCTCATGGTGTGGGGCTGCCCAAGCCTATTAGAACTCACATTATGACACTGTATACCCTGGATGGAAGACATGAACCTACAGATTTAATATTTATCTTTCTGGCGCCCAATCCTTTCTCACTGTATTCTTGTTCCTCCTGTTGGAATGGGAATGTTTATTCTTCACTATTGTTGCTGAAAGTCTGTAGCTTGTTTATGGATTTTTCAGAGGCTCACAGCTAAGAGTTTGCCTTCAGTCTCAGAGGAGTCTTCAACTTGGGATTTTGAACAGTTTTGGAACTATTAGACTTGGAGACTCTTGGAGATGGATTGAATCAATTTTGATTATGAGAAGGACATGAATCTTTTGAGGATTTAAGGGGAATGTTATACTTTAAAGCAATGTGTTTGACATATTGACAAGGAGTGGGAATTGTGATGGTTAATTTTGATTTTCAACTTGATTGGATTAAGAAAGGCCTAGAAGATCGATGAAGCATATTGCTGTAATGGCTTTCCAAATTCAATTAGTTGTTGAGGTCTTTACCTTTATAACTTGGATCACAAGACAGAGGAACACCAAATAGTGATGGTTGTTATAGTTTGTTTCTTCATTGTTGTGACAAAATACTCTGACCAGTACCAACTTGGGGAGGAAAGGGTTTATTTGACTTACAACTCCCAGGTCACAGTTCATCACTGATGGAGCCCAAGGTAGGAACTCAGGGTAGGAACCTGGAGGCAGGAGCTGGACAACAGGCCATGGAGGAACACTGCCTACTGGCTTGCTCCCCTGGCCCTTACTCAGCCTGCTTTCTTGTATAATATGAGCAAACTGCCCAGGGGTGGCACTGCCCACAGTGGGTTGGGCCTTTCCACATCACTCATTAATCAAGAAAATACTCCACAGACATGGCCACAGGCCAGTCCAATGGAGGTAATTCCCAAATTGAGGCTCCCTTTACCCAGGTGTGTCAAGTTGACAACTAAAGCTATTCAGTATGATGTTCTAATTAGGAGTCCTTTAGTAGCTGTCAATTGAGAGGGGGCTAATGGCCAAAAGGACTCATGACCCCAAGGAGAAGCAGGGCAGAGTTTATAAACCTTAAAACCACAATTACATCATGCCAGGGGCAAAGCCAATAACCACAGTTACATCAGATCACCATAATTATACCAAATTGGGTCAGGTCAGCTTACAAAGAGGTTTTCAGTTAACAAAAAGTTTCTAAGTTTCAGTTAGGAGAAACAAGTTTCTCAGAATTTCAGAAACAGTGGGCTGCACAGCCTCTGGCATCCAAGTGCCAGCACCTTTCCTGGGTAAGTCCAGCATGCCCAGCACCTTGACTCCCCAGCCTCTTTCACCCTCCCAGCTCCCCCACCATCTCTCTCCTCCTAGCCTGGGTACTGGCCCATTTCCTGTCTTGGCACCCCAGACACTGGGGCTAACCTCTTGGCCCAGAGCCACCATTGCTTCCTGATCCTTTGCATCCAGACCAACCCAATTCCTCCCTGCGGTCCCCAGGAGCCCTCTGAACCTGGTCCCACCATCACCTCCCTTTACTTCTCTGGGCTGCACAGCATCTGGTGTCCTGGTGCCAGCACCTTTCCTGGATAAGTCCATTGCTGTCC